GCAGATGGGCCCTAAGGCCCACCCCAGGTGCGCCTCCCCCTCTCCTCCTTGTGGCCGCCACCCAGATGGGATCTGGGGGCTGCCGCGACCCCTAGGGAGGGAACCCTAGGTGGGGGCGCAGCCCCTCCCCTTCCCCTATATATACTTGAGGTTTGGGCTGCCCAACACACATGAGTTTCTGACCTCTCCCTGGCGCAGCCCTACCTCTCTTTCTCCTCATATCTCGCGGTGCTTGCTGAAGCCCTGCTGGAGTACCACGCTCCTCCACCACCACCACGCTGTTGTGCTGCTGCTGGATGGAGTCTTCCTCAACCTCTCCCTCTCTCCTTGCTAGATCAAGGCATGGGAGACGTCATCAGGCTGTACGTGTGTTGAACGCGGAGGTGCCGTCCTTTTGGCACTAGGATCTCCGGTGATTTAGATCACGACGAGTACGACTCCATCAACCCCGTTCTCTTGAACGCTTCCGCTTAGCAATCTACAAGGGTATGTAGATGCACTCTCCTTCCCCTCGTTGCTGGTTTCTCCATAGATAGATCTTGGTGACACGTAGGAAAATTTTGAATTTCTGCTACGTTCCCCAAAAGTTTGGGGGCTAAAGACTTACACAGACAAAACATCAGTCTCCTCACCAAATGGTGGTGGAAGCTGGAAACCCAACAAGGCCTTTGGCAGGAGATTATCCGTGCTAAATACTTCAGAAATGACACGGTTCCCTCGGTGAAGAGTAAATTTGGGGATTCCCCCGTTTGGAAAGCTATTATGAAAGTAAAGGAAATTTATTTGGCAGGTAGAGAGGTGATTTTAAACTCTGGGAATATAGCCAGAGTCTGGAATGACCCCATTAGGGGTGCTGCTCCCTTGCGTGTTAAATTTCCGATCTTGTTCAGTATCTATAATTATCAGGAGATTACTGTTGCTGAATTTAAAAAGTTTGAGGGGTGATCTTTTTACAAGGAACCTGCATCCACCTCTTGTGGATCAGTGGAATGATCTAGTTAAGGTGGTGAACTCTTGGCAATTGTCCGATGAGACGGACTATATTAGCTGGAGATTGGGAAAAAAGAAAGGTAAATTCTCGACCAAATTGGTCTATACCTATTTGGAAAGAACCCTGGCGGGGTGTGATTTCAGATGGATATGGAAAGCAAAAATCCCTCTTAAGATTCAAATCTTTCTCTGGCAATTGTTCCAAGATGCGGTTTTGACTCGAGAAGTCATGAAAAAGAGAAAATGGGCAGGAAATGCCAAATGCTCGTTCTGCAATGAGGTGGAAACCTCACAGCATCTTTTATTTACTTGTCCTGTTGCTCGGGTGGTTTGGAGGATGGTTGGGTGTGTGTCTGGCACATCGTTGTGTCCGAACAATCTTTGGCAGTTTTTCTCATGGTGTTACATTTTCCTTCCCGATGGGGCCAAGTTTTATACGTTTGGTTTGGCAGCTATTTGCTGGCAGTTTGGATCAATCGCAATCAGGCTACCTTTGAACATAAATCTCTTAAAAGTCCTTTTAATGTGGTTTATGCTGCTTGTGGCTTTTTGACATACTGGGCAGGTTTGATGGCTGGTGAGGATCGAGAGTCCATGGAGCGCGGAGCCAAGATGCTGAGATCGAATGCCTCGACGATGATGAGGATTTGTGCACCTCCATCGACGACGAACTGATTCTACTCCACCAAGGCAAAAAAGCTTCGAGACTGTGTTTACCCGTTTGGTGGATCGCACTCCTACGCGAGTGTCTTTTGCTCTCCTGTGTTTTGCCTACGAGCAGGGCGTTGTAGTACTGTTATGATTCCTGTTGGAGTTTGCCTTGATCTGGTTAGGTCTAGTGGTTTGCGTGATGCTAGGTGTCACTGGGTTTTCGCCCCGTGATGGGCTGCTCGATGACGAGTGCTCATAGTGGGTTTCCCAGTGATGCTTTTGATCTCGCCTTACCCCTTTCTTGCTTCCTTATGCTGTAGTCGTTTATGCTGGGTCTGTGTTTGTTGAACTTTAAACTTTGTATTTCCGTTATGCAATTAATGGAAAGGGGTTATGGCCCGGGTCAAAAAAAAATACAAGCGTCCTTGAGACTGCCCAACATCACAGATTCGTCCTTGAGAGTGCCCAACATCACAGGTGTTTGGCATTTGAATCTCCCTCCAAACTTTCCCCTCCACGTCGACTGTGGCTATTCTCTTATCAAGGGTAGGCAGATGGATAGTGCCATTCAGGAAGACCTGTGTGTATATACCATGATTCACGAGAGGATCTTTTGTCCACTTACTTTGCACATGAGTCCACCCTCCAGTTTCTGTCGAGTAGATTGACACTTTTCCGGAATCGTTCATACCAACCATCTGGCTCTCGGGGGCAAACACCACAAAGCGGGATGGAATAGCAGGGTCGAAACCTAGGAAAGGGATGGGATCGGGACCTGGAAATCCGACAGGAGGCAGCACAGTCCACTCTTGGGTAGCAGGATTGCAGACACCATAATAGGATTCGTCTCGCAGATTATCCGAGCAGCTGCATAGGAGAAGGCCGCCGCAGACGTGTTGGACAGAAATGTGGCGGTACCTTTGGCGCAAGAAAGGGAGAGAGGGGTCGACAAGTGGCGGACCTCTCCCATTCAAATTGCGGAAATTGAGGACACGGACGTTCTTGTAGAAGAAGCCGGAGAGGGTCTGTGGCGACCTCTTGCAGATGTCCGGGGCGGAGCAGAGGGCGAGCCACGGCTTGGACACGCACTTGAAGCGGCAGAGCGACCTGTAGGGCACACGCAAAAGGATCTCGACGAGGGCGCCCTCGGGGAGGCTCGGCACGATCTGCTGCTCTTGCTCCAGCTTCTGCACCTGCTTCTTCTTCACACCCTGTAAATGATGGAGACGACGACTCGTTTAGGCTCCCGATCCCCTTTCTTGGATCGACGACAATTGACGGGGCCAGTCGAGGATCTTGTTCTAAAAGAGAAAGGACATTGCAGAAGCATGGAGCAAACCTCGGAAGCCACCGGGACAATGGCGGGGAGCGGCGGCGTGGAATGGGGCAGAGCGTCTTCGTCGCGACGGACGGTGGCCGGCGGGTGGCTCTGCACCGTGCAGCCATGCTCGCCCCCTCCTTCTCCTCCTGGCGGCATGACCTCCTCTCCGGCTGGCGCTAGGGTTCGTGAAATCGTGATGGGGCGTGACTGCGAGTGGAGTGGAGTGGCCCCGTTGATAATGGGCTCTCTGATTTTTTTTCTTTATTAGCTGTGGTTCTAAAGGCGGCCCAATTGATTCTGATGATTTGTTGGCCCTCTCCACTGAATAGTCGAACAATTTTCTTGGTTGGTTTGTTAATTTACGAGCCGATGATAAAAAAAAGATTTGCATCAGCAGAATGTGCATGTACTAGATATGTTTTGAATTACAACTTGTTGGCACCTGTTAGTCTTGCCTAGCTTTGTAGAAGAAGATATCAATATTCATACTATGAAATCCATATTATTAGATGCATGATGAAATTAATTTTCATAATATATAACTTTAGTATTGTGATGTTGATATTTTTTTACTAAAAAGTTGGTCAAACTTTACAATGCTTGACTTTGACCAAATCTTATATGCAGACTAAAAAGAAACGGAGGGAGTAATTAAACTCATTAAGCTACGTGTGAAGGGCGACCAACCAGCTATGCCACGTGGCGCAAACTGGTTGGGCACGGTGAGAAATCTTTTGAATTTTTTTAGATGAAGATGTGGATTATTTTTTAAAATGTATTTTTTCTTTTTAGATGGAGGTGAGGAGCTCTGGTATTTTTTAAATGGAGGGTTGTGCAAAGTGGCACTTGCTGGTTGGCTGCGGTGATATTTTTTCCGTTTTACTTTTTTTAGATGAAGGTGAAGATTTTCTTTTGAGATGTTTTTTTAGACGGAGGCGATGACTCTATGTATATTTTGTTAAATGGAGACATGCGCATAGCTTTCTCTCAAGCGGCGTCACACCCCAACCACTAGTTTTACAATATAGTGCAACTACCTTCCGAGGGCGCACAAGGCAAAGACGCTTCTCTTGCCATTCGGCCCGCCTCCAGGCCCTCTCTCGCACTCAGTAGGGTGCTCTCCGGCTGGTAGCCACTTTTGACTGCTGGCCAAAGAGGACTTCGACGAGTCAGAGAGGGATGACTCATCGGCTAACTCAGGTACAAATCCGATGCCTTACTAATACTTAAGTGATTCGGTGCTATCTGATTATAGTAAGAGAGATTCTACTATTAAGGGGAAATTAATAGAAAAATGAAGAGATGTAGACAAATTAACACATGGTCTCATGATTTTGAGGCTAGATGTGACGGGGAAATCCAAACTTCTTGAGTTATCTGATTAATAAATAGAAGCAGAGATTGTTGATTGGCCAGGAGGATATCAAAAGGAATGGGTACTACCCCCCCCCCCATTTTGAACTATTTTGATGATAATTGTGCTGATTTTGGGAAAATTACATTAATCTCCACCAGTGTTGTTGCCCTGAACAAAGGTGGAGGGGAATTGGAGAAATTGGGGGGGGGGTATTAAAGAGGCTGACGAAAATGGGTTTTGGGGGATCAGTAGGTAGGTTTTTAGATCATATTGAGGAGGAAGTGGAACTGGGATTTAGATGCTATGGGCCTCCAACTTTGGAAGCTGGCCTAGTAGTGGCCCAGAATTTATCCACTCCTGCTATATATATGCTGGAGAGGGCGAGCTTTTAGAAACAGACAACTTCTCTAGGGTTACCCTGACAACCGCCTCCTGACTCTGCCATGTCGGCGAACTATGGCAACTTTCGAGGTGGATGGAGATTCGGTAGGGGTGGTGGAAGAGGAAATTTCCAGTACCAACCGAAGGATTTTGTTAACAAAGATGATGTGAGTTTCGTAAGAGATCCAATCCCCCACCCACAAAATAATAATTCGGGTAGGGGTAGAGGACAGATCGACGCAACTGTGGGTGGTGATGGAAATCTGATGCCAAGAAGGTCTCAGACATTAGGTGGAAATCAGTCCTGGAGAGGTATGGTGGGTGAAATTGAGATAGTTGGTTCTTCTGGTGATAATAACAAGCAAGAACCTGAGAAGAAGAGGGATTAGATCTGGATCCAGTAGTAGCATGGTTCTTAGTTTGGCCGCATCCCAACAACAGTAGCCCTTGGGCGCGCTGCTTTCACAAATACCCAAGACCATGGCTATTGGAGAACTGGATATAAGTGACAGAAATGGTGTAGGCAACAAGGGGAAGGATCATGTAGGTGTTGGAAATGGTGGTGGGGAAAATCAAACTAACAAAGGATCATCACCTGGCAGTGGAAACGTGGGAGAATCTGGAGACTTCAAACATGATCACAGGCTTGGTAACTCTCTATAAGGGAATGAGATGAATAAGAAGCAAGGGGGCAGATTTCGAAAGCAAGTTTATGGGAAATGTAAAGATCCCAGGCACTCTACCAGGGAATGCAAAGTGGGGCATTGTTTGATTTGTGGCAAGGATAATCACATCACAAAGGAGTGTAACTAGTTGCGACAGATGAAGCCCTTGCCAAAATACATTGGATATGCCGCCAAGGGTTTACGAGTGTTCTTGGTCCAAAGTGCTAAAGATATTTTGGTTGCTGATCATACTCATCCACTGGCTATTGTATCTTTGGAATCAATGTACTTGAATGAGACTGATTTTGTACAAGAATTTGGGGAGATGTTTAACTGGAGCTGGCAATGGAGAGCTAAAAGCTACGGCCAAATCTATTATCTAATGAGGTTTCCAAACAAAGCAAGGCTGGTGGAGTTGGCTAAATTCAAAACTTTTAACCTGTTAGGAACTGGGGTAATGATCAAAGTTCAAGGGTGGACACTGGATCATTAGGCCATTGGCAAATTACACACTGCTTGGGTAAAATTTGGTAGTGTGGCTGATTGTTTTAGGCACTTTTTTGGGATGTGTGAAGTAGCAGGGGCTATTGGGCCAGTGATGGAAATTGATAAGGATACCAACACACAGGAAAAAATTAAAGCAAAAAATTGGAGCAAGAGATGTGGAGAAAATCTCACCTTCCTTTGAAATCACTTCAAATGACGTGCTAATTTTTAGAGTGACTTCTGAATTGGACAATGTGGTGGAAATGGGTTTGTATAAAGAGTTTAAAAGAAGTGAATCTCCTGAAGATGATTTGATGGACATGTATGAAAAAGAAGATACTAGGAAAAAAGCAAGGTAGGGGAAAACACCAAGAGTGCATTTGACATTGGGGAGCTTGTCTTTGGCTCAGCTTGAAGAGGTTAATAAGAAAATAATGCAATGAAAACCTCCACTGAAAATTATTTTGGCCCCATTCTTCATAACCTAGCAAAAGAATACAAACCGGCTCGAAAAGGATATAGATGTAGTACTGAGAAGAGTTCAATCTTTGGAAGAGGAAAAGACAAGGCAAGCTGCTTTGTGGGCAATTGAGGGGAAGAAAATGATTTATTTAGAAAAATATAAGAAGACGCTGGAAGCTGACTTTGCTCAACAGCAATAAATGACACAACAGCTGATATGAGAGGATGAGAAAAGAGAGCAAATGGAATTGGAGCATGCTAATGTGGATGATGAGGAAATTGAGGGGTATGTGCAAGATAAGAAAAAAGCAACTGAATTTGATAAATATGGGGAGAACAGTGATTATAATGCTTGCCAAGAATCTGCGGAAAACTTTGGACAGAAGATGGCCGACAAACATGGACCTGAAACTAGAGATTTGGAGATTGGCAAAGAAGAGGAATTGAGAACAAGCTTCAGTATGAAGGTGGAGGACTTGGCCAAGAACAGAGCTGAAGCAAGGGATAATTATGGTAATGAACATAACTCCCCTCCTTCTATATCTCCTTTAATGCATATGACATCTTTCATAGGAAATGGTTTAGGATGCACTATTGATATGGTAGAGAAAAACATTGGGATTATCCAAAAATGGAGGCTGCTAGAAAAGAGTTTTATTGGCAAAATATACTAACCAGAGAGAAAAAGGAAAAGGTGAGGCCAGCACTCCAATTCAGATTGATATTGGAGATGCCAATATGGCTGAACTCTGTTTTGATAAAGAACATTCAGACGCCAAGGTAGAAGAGAATTATCATGATCAATTGAAAAAAATATTTGTTGGGGAATTTTTTTCAAGAGGGATCACCAGCAATTAGCTGTGTGAAACACTCTGTTGCTATCAACTTCCTTGAAAAAAGGAGGAAGAAGACATAAAATTAGAGAGGCTAAATATTTGCCTCTTGTTTTTTGTGAAACTGTGTGTCTATGGATATATAGATTTGGATAATAATAAACCATTTATATTGGAAAAATGAAAGGTTTTTTTGGAATGTTAGAGGATTGGGGCATGATCATAAAAATAGATATGTTAAGGATATGATTGTAGAACATAAAATTGACTTTGTGGGGCTGATGGAAACTATAAAAACTAGGTATTCCAAAACTGAACTCACTTTGTGTGTGGGGGGTGGGGAGAAATTTTGAATGCACTTGAAATCCACCTAGTGGGAAATGTGGAGGTATTCTGGTGGGTTGGAATAAAGATATTTTTGACACTATTCGTCTTGAACATGGTGAATATTTTGTCAGGGTACATGTTTTTGATAGACATGCAAGTTTGAATGGAATTTAATCACTATCAATGGTGATGCTCAAATTGAAAGAAAAGCTAGTTTTTTAGCTGAGCTGGCTAGAGTCTATCATGATATTGCCTTGTTTGGTGGTGGTGGGGGGGGGTTAATATCATTAGAAAGAGTGATGAGAAAAACAAACCTAATAATCCAGATCATTGGAGTTTTTTGTTTAATGTTATTATAGAACATGTTGGGCTTAGGGAGATGTCTCTAAATGGGATACAATACACTTGGGCTAATAATCTTCCTCATCCAACTTATGAGAAATTGGATAGGGTTCTATGTTGTCCAGATTAGGAGGAAAAATAACCCTTATCCATACTCCAGGCATTTGCTAGGGAGGCCTTTGATCATACTCCACTTTATATTTTGACACAAGAGCCCACACAAATACTGAACCAATTTTCATATCTAAAAATTCTTGAGTGCTTAGAGAGGGATTTAAGGATTTTGTGGTTAAAGTATGGAATGGGGAGTATAAAGTAGATAATTTGGATAGATGGTAAGAAAGATTCAGAAACTTGAGGAAAAAAGCTAAAGGTTGGAATGAAAATGTGGATGCTTGGTATAGGAAGATGAAGAAAGAAATTATTGATAGACTTGATGATTTGGAAGAAAATGCTGAAAATATGGGATTAACAGCTGCAAATAGAGATGAACAAAAAGAGCTAAGTGCTCAAGTATCTAGGCTTATGTAGTAAGAAGAACTTAAATGGCTTCGAAGATATAAAGATAAAGAGATTAAAGATGGATATGGAAACACTAGATACTACAATGCCAAAGTGAATGAAGAAGACGCATAAAATAAAATAATATCTTTAGAACAAGTAGAGGGGGTGATTGAGGGAGAGATTGAATTAATGGAGTATATTACTAACTTCTATAAGAGACTATTTGGACAGACAGACGAGTGGAACATTATGCTGGGAGACCTAGATATGCCAAAAAATTCTGCTATAGAAGCTGTGGAGTTGACTGCACCTTTCTCTATGAAAGAAATTCATGAGGTGATTTTTGGTATGGAGAAAAACAAGAGCCTTGGTCCGGATGGATTTCCTGCTGATTTCTATCTGGAATTTTGGGATTTGATAAAATGGGATCTCAAGGACATGGTTGACGATTTCACTTCTGGCAAATTTGACATCACTAGGCTTAATTATGATACCCTAATCCCAAAAACCTCAGATGCTAAACAAATTTAGAAATTTAGACCATATGCCTCTTGAATGTCAGTTTTAAGATTATTACTACGGTTTTGATGAATAGATTGAGTAAAGTGGTCTCTCATGTTATTTCTCCTACTCAAACTACTTTTGTTAAAGGGAGATTCATTATGGAAGGGGTTGTGGTACTTCATGGAGCTTTAAATACAGTACATTACAAAAAACAAAATGCTTTGATCATCAAAGTGGACTTTTGTTATCAAAATGTTGAAAATGAAAGGATTTTCTGATAAAGGTGTGACTGGATTGTGCTAACTATGAGAATGGGACATGTAGGAGTTAGGGTTGATGATCAAATTGGGCCTTATTTCAAAACCTTTAAAGGCCTTAGACAAGGGGACTCTATGTCCCCCTTGTTGTTTGACCTTGATGATTATGCTTTAGCTCTGATCGTGGATAAAGCAAAGAATGAGGGGGGTTGTTAAGGGGGTGCTTGGTACTCAGTGTAACATGGGGATAAACATGCTACAATATGATGATGACACTATTTTCTTACTTCAGGATGATCTTGATGATGCAAAAAAAATTGGAGTTCATTATTTGTGCTTTTGAGCAAATGTCTGGGCTTACTATTAATTTTCATAAAAGTGAACGGTTCCTTTTTGGAGAGGAAAATAATAAAAGACAGACATATCAGGAATTTTTCACTTGTGGCATGGGATCTCTCCCTATGAAGTATCTAGGGATGCCAGTGTCACACACTAGAATTAGAAAAAGACACTGGTCTGGGTAGTTGAAAAAAATGAGAAAAGATGTGAGTGATGGCAAGGTAGACTCCTAGGATCTATTGCTGGGAGAATAACCTTGGTGCAGGCCTGCTTGTCCAATATACCTCTTTTTTATGATGTCGTTTTACCCCATTCCTGCTGGGGTACTTAAGAAAGTAGACTCTTATAGAGCTAGATTGGTTTGGCAAGAAGACGAAGATAAGAAGAAATACCATTTGGTAAACTGGAAGACCTGTTGCAAACCCAAAGACTTGGGAGGTTTGGGTATTTTAAATTTAAACATTATGAATAAAGATTTACTTCTGAAATGGTTTCGGAATTTGGAAATGGAGGAAGGACTTTGGCAGCCAGTCCTCTAGGACAAATATGTAACTGATGGATGCTTATCCAGGACACAACATAAAAATGGAGATTCACAATTTTGGACTAATACTATTAAGGTCAAAGAGATATTTGACAGATTTTGTAGGAAAATTTTGGGGGATGGCAAAAACACAAGGTTCTGGGAAAGACATATGGGTAGATGATAAACCTCTGAAAGAGGCATATCCAAGGCTATATATGCTTAGTTTTGAACACAATATCAATGTGTCTGAAGCCTTGGAGAACGAGTGGAGATGATTTAAATTTAGAAGAACACTATATGAGGAAACCATGGAATTGTGGAAAAGCCTAGGAAGAAGATGTGAGGAGGTTAATATGGGAAGAGGTAGAGATCAGGTGGAGTGCATGCTAACTCCGGATAAACAATTTATTCTCAAGTCCTTATATAGACTAGAGATATTTTTAGAAGACCTTTTTATGCTAAAAAAACAGATGATCCACACATAATCATATCAAATCTTCAAAATGCATTAAAACGGAGCATCGATGGATAACAAACTATAGACTGGAGATATTTACTTGCATAAAACAAATGGAAATGAAGAGGTGAAAATAACGCAGATAATGTACTCTCAGTGACTTATATTAGCCACATCAGGCCCAAACGACTGGCCACAATAACTAGTGCTACATGACAGCAAACAGATGAAATGGCTAGGTGGATTCTTACAACTAACTAGTACACTCACCCTTACAAAGTTTGGCTAACAACATTGTTCAAAGCAACAAAGGCATATGCACCGAACTCAAGACTGTAGACATAGGAGTTGGGACTTCTCCACGCAATGCCAGGAAATTAGGAGAGTAGGCCCATGTCAACCACTAATTTCAGCAAAAGGTGTTGTCCCATGCTGAGCACGTAATGTAGCACTGGATCTCAGTGACCAGCTGAGGGCAATTCCGCAAAACAGGGAGTATAAGGCAAACCATTCATGCCTTTGGCGCAGATAACATGCACTTTCTGATTATCCATGTCATACGACAATGTCATGTTCTTCTTGTCGGTAAGAAAAATCACGTTGCAATCCGGATGAATTGCAAACATCGCATAAGAATCTCCATGTTTACGGCAATTCCTTCCAAACAACTCCAAAACCTTAAAAGTGTGCTTTAGGGTCCACTTTCCAGTATCATAATCCTCAAGGGCCCAAATATAGAGTTGGCAATCATAAAAATTATCTGTCTTCCACGCATACAGGCGTCCTTGAGACTGCCCAACATCACATATGTTTGGCAAGTCATTTGGCATTTGAATCTCCCTCCAAACTTTCCCCTCCACGTCGACTGTGGCCATTATGTTATCAATGGAAGGCAGATGGATAGTGTCATTAAGGAAGACCTGTGTGTCTCTACCATGATCCACGAGAGGCTCTCTTGTCCACCTACTTTGCACATGAGTCCACCGTCCAGTTTCTGACGAGTAGATTGCCACTTCTCCGGAACCGTCCACACCAAACATATTGGGCTGGGGCGCAAACACCACAAAGCGGGATGGAACAGCAGGGTCAAAACCTAAGAAAGCGATTGGATCAGGACCTGGAAATCCGACAGGAGGCAGCACAGTCCACTCCTCGGTCGCAGGATTGCAGACAAGATAACAGGCTTCGCCTAGAAGATTATTCGAGCAGCTGCACAGGAGGAGTCCGCCGCAGACCTGTTGGACAATAATGTAGAGGTACCTTTTGCTCAGGAAAGAGAGTGAAGGGTCGACCAGAGGCGGGCCTCTCCCATTCAAATTGCAGAAACTGAAACCTTCGCCTTCATCCTGGTAAAAGAAGCCAGAGAGGGTCTGTGGCGACCTCTTGCGGATGTCAGGGGCGGAGCAGAGGGCGAGCCACGGCTTGGACACGCACTTGAAGCGGCAGAGGGACCTGTAGGGCACTCGCGAAAGGATCTCCATGAGGCCGCCCTCGGGGAGGCTTGGCGCAGGCTGCTGCTCCTGCTCCCGCTCCAGCTTCTGCTTCTTCTCCTGTATAAATGATAACGGCTGGTTTAGGTTCCCGATTCCTTCTCTTGGATAACGGCTGCTTCTTCTCCTGCTCCAAGATTGGAAGGCCCTTGTTAAACAAAAGGAAAACTGGAGCAGCGCGAGCGAACCTCGGAAGCTACCGGAGCAATGTCGGGGAGCAGCAGCGTAGAATGAGACGGAGCGTCGTCGTCGCGGCGGACGGTCGCCGTCGGCTGACCCTGCAGCGCACAGCCATGCTCGCCTCCACCTCCTCCTCCTGGCGGCATCGCCTCCTCTTCGGCTGGCGGATCAGTGGCTCGAGGCAGTCGAATCGACCGTGGCGGCGCTGGCTGCCGCTGCTCGCCGGGGCTAGGGTTCGTGAGGGGGAATGGGGCGGCGGCTGTTATGGGAGCGTGCGTGAGTGCGAGTGCAGTGGTTGATTTGTTACTCTGCTGACAATAGACGGCCCAATGGACCCTGATACTTTCTTGGCCCACTCCGCTGAATAATAATCGAATAATTTCCTTGGTGCCTCTAAAAAAAAGAAGAACCCAAGCCACGCTGCTTGCTGCTCTGCTTCTTATTCTATCCTAGTGTTGCAATTTGTACTGAAATTAGTGTTGTGTTTTATGATATAGCCATTAGAAATATTTTGGTAGAGCAGTCTCTCAAGTGATTTGACAGAAAATGATGATTGTAAAGAGCATGGACTGAAAACATCGTGTGTCATGTCATGAGGTTCAGACTTGGGACTTCCAAGGGATATGCCTCTGATAAGCACTAAGCTGATTATAAATTGTACTTATATCATGATTTGCATTGAAAGGGTAGAAAAAAAACATAAGATTGTATGGTTTCTTTCAGAAAACTGAAGCCATCATGTTGTACTGCTCAGAAATAAAACCTACACGACTAGAAGGCACAATGGAAGGAATTGAAGAAGCATCCGCGGCTCATCAGACAAAAGGTAAGCAGTTTTCTCTCCGAGTAAACATTTTTCTCTGGCTGCTTTCATCAAGGACAGGTTCGGCCAGCTTGACACACTGGTACCGGGTGGCTCAAATTTTCAAATGAAAATTTGAATATGCAATTAACTTATCGTACATAAGCCAATTCGAATAAAAATCATGATTTGAAGTGATGTGTGAGATCAACCTGAAGTGAAGTGATGTGTAAACAAGGAGCGCTATCCAACAACTGCTGGATGTATCACACACTGCACACTGGACTAAAATTTCAACGCCACACCAAGTGAAGATTGATTGTAGTAACTGAACCCCATCTTAATGCCAGAACAGGCGCCTGTCATGCTGTAATTTCACAGATTCAGCGAGAACTAAACCTTCAACCAACAAAGCCATGATAGGAAAACCAACCTTATCTTCAGATTCACGCAACAAATATTTCTACTTACTAAAGAGTTTACAGGATCCGGTTTTGTGCAGTCCTCGTTTCCAACAGTCAATGCGACATGTTCCGGTGTACACTTGCAGCACTTGGCATGGGAAATAGCATCCAGAACAGGTGCCTGGAATGCTGTAATGCCATCCTATAGCAGCTACACAAAAGTTAGAGGCCTGTCAAATATTTCTACTTACAAAGACTCTGCAGAATATGGTCCGTGGTCCTCATTTCGGACAGTCAGTGCACCATGTTTAGTGTACAACACTTGAAAGGAGAAATAATAAATATCTGCTATATGTAACATATCCATTGTGGTGATTATTATAAAAAACATTGTCGTGCTCAGCTTCCCATAAAGAGCAGGCCTCTAAACCAATGTTAAGCAACCAAAAACTTCAACACTCTAGTCAGGTTTCAGGAGGAGAATGATGAACTATATTAGACAGCAAGAATTCAAAGCACACTGGGAAGCATATGTAAAAAAAAATGGATGGTGAACTTGTAGCCATGTTATTGCAACAAAGATGGTAGTCTCAGACTATCAGTGACTGCTTCCCCACAAAAGGTCATATTCCCCTGAGCAAAAACATATGAAAGAACTGTCTTCCAGGCCAGTTTAGCTGCACAAATTTCTGGACACCACCAATGGAACATGGAAGTCCATGTGGGTTACATAAAAGAAACTAATATTTCTGTACCCGACAAGTATATGGTGCAATATAGAAGAGACAATCCACAGATAATCTTCTCAAATCTTACAAAATGCTGCATAGAAACAGAGCTAGCACCGATGGATACATAAAAGTATATGGTGCAATATAGAAGAGACAATCCACAGATAATCTTCTCAAATCTTACAAGATGCATAGAAACAGAGCTAGCGCCGATGGATAACAAGCTATAGATTGCAGATATTCACTTGCATAGACAAGTGAAAATAAGGAGGTGAAAATGCAAACAATGTCAAACATTGATAATGTACTCTCACTGAGTGTCTTATATTATCATCCCACATCAACAGTTAACGAGTGGCCACAATAATTTAGTACTACATGACAGCAAATAGATTAAAGGACTAGGTTCATTCATACAACTACTTATTACTCTTACAGAGTCTTGGCTAACAAAGATTGTTCAAAGCAACAAAGGCATGAACCTGAACACCAACAGATAGGATAGGAACACCACACTGTAGATATAGGAGTTTGTTCATCTCTACGCAATGGCACGAAATTAATTAGGAGAGTCGGTCCATGCAACCACTAATTTTCGCAAAAGGTGTTGTCTCATATGGTGATGCTGCAGTGAATCTCAATGACCAGCTGAGGGCAATTCCGCAAAACAGGGAGTATAAGGCAGACCCTTCATTCCTTCAGTGCAGATAACAGTCACTTTCCGATTATTTATGTCATACGACAATGTCATGTTCTTCTTGTCAGTAAGAAAGAACATGTTGCAATTCGGATGAACTGCAAACATCGCATAAGAATCCCCATCTTCACGGCCATTCCTTCCGAACAGCTCCAAAACATTAATGGTGTGTTGTAGGGTCCACTTTGCAGTACCATAATCCTCAAGGACCCAAATATAGAGTTGGCAGTGATGAGAATTATCTATCTTCCATGCATACAAGCGTCCTTGAGACTGCCCAACATCACAGATTCCTGACGAGTCGCCTGGCATTGTAATGACCCTCCAAACTTTCCCCTCAGCGTCGACTGTGGCTATTTTATGACCAATGCTACGCAAATGGATAGTGTCATTCAGGAAGACCTGTGTGTACCTACTATGAATAATGAGAGGATCCGTTGACCAGCCACTTTGCAGATGAGCCCACCGTCCAGTTTCTGAGGAGTAGATTGCCACTTCTGCAGAACCGTCGACACTAAACGTATTGGGCCGGGGCGCAAACACCACAAAGCGGGATGGAACAGCAGCATCGAAACCTAGGAAAGGGACTGGATCGCCGTCTGGGTATCCAACAGGAGGCAGCACAGTCCACTCCTCTGTGGCAGGATTGCAGACAACATAACAGCTTTCGTCTCGCGAAGAATCCCAGTTCCAGAAGCTTTGGTCTCGCGAAGAATTGGAGCAGCTGCAGAGGAGAAGGCCGGCGCAGACCTGTCGGACAGAAATGTAGCGGTACGTTTTGCGCAAGAAAGGGAGAGATGGGTCGACCAGAGGCGGACCTCTCCCACTCAAGTTGCGGAAACTGAGAGCATCGCCTTCATCATGGTAGAAGAAGCCGGAGAGGGTCTGTGGCGACCTCTTGAGGATGTCCCGGGCGGAGCAGAGGGCGAGCCACGGCTTGGACACGCACTTGAAGCGGCAGAGCGAGCTGTAGGGCAGCCGGGAAAGGATCTCAACGATGGCGCCCTCCGGGAGGCTCGGCGCGGTCTGCTGCTCCTCCACCCGCTGCTTCTTCTTCGCATCCTGCAAATGACAGAAACGACGGCTGGTTCAGGCTCCCGGTCCCCTTTCTTTCTTGGATCGACGACGGGGCCAATCGAAGATCTGGTTCTAAAAGAAAAGAAAGAAGCTTGGAGCAAACCTCGGAAGCCACCGGGACGATGGCGGGGAGCGGCGGCGTAGAATCAGACGGAGCGTCGTCGTCGCGGCGGACGGTAGAGCCATGCTCGCCTCCACCTCCTCCTCCTCCTCCTCCTCCTCCTGGCGGCATCGGCTCCTCTCCGGCTGGCGGCGCCGGGTGCTGCTGCTCTCCGGCGCTAGGGTTTGTGAGGGGAAATGGGGAGCGTGCGTGACTGCGAGTGGAGTGGAGGCTGGGATCCCGTGCGCCCAGTGTGTGTCACTCTGCTCACAATTGACGGCCCACTCCACTCTGGTTCTAAAGGCGGCCCAATGGACCCTGATAATTTGTTGGCCCACTCCACTTTTTGAATAATAATCGAATAATCTCCTTGGTTGGTTTGTTAATTTATTTATTGCGAGCCGGTGACAGAATTAGCTTGTCTTCGCATCAGCAACATGGTAACAATGATCCATGCCGGAATAATCAACAACACTTGTCTCCCTGCAAAAAAAAAAATCCAATTTAAACTCAGTCCTGCAACCTGCGACCTTCCTTTAGCTGCGACTTAAAAGCTCGATCAAAATAATTTTTTGAGGGGGGAGAAAATTTTGAAGCATAGAAATCTTCTATCTCTAAATAGCTAGCTAGCCCCCACTAGCCTATTTATCTCAACATGAAAGCATGTCACCTCATCATGAAATAAATGCTCACTTCAACATGCAACCATGCATAGGAAAAGCCCCACCTCAATATGCAAGTATGAATAACATTTTTCATTCTATTATGCTATTTATATCTACTGAATTTTTTACAACTATACAATTGTCGAACACAATAAACCAAACATGTTTTCCGTTTTATTTCTCATATTATTATTTCAAATATTCATGTCACATACAATCAAATATCTTTGAAATGTATTGCAAAATATTCCCGCAACAATGTGCGGGGCATCATCTAGTACTATGTATCTCTGAAAAGTATTTCCGGACGGAGGGAGTACAACTGTACAAGTTAAGGAACAATCCTTCTATACGGTTATGTGCATATTTCAGCGAGAAAGAGATTTCCGATAGCCTGTTTCAGAGGGGCCTTGGAAAGCAGCAGCAAAGGATAGTTTTCCCACCATATTTAAGAATTGGTCTGTCATAAAAGAAGAAATTATCAAGGCGGTTCAGAGATTTTTTAGAACGGGACACCTCCCTGGCGGTGTTAATGGAACAATAATTGTCCTTGTTGTAAAAATACTTGACCCGATGCGGCTCACTAACTTTAGGATTATAAGTATGTGCAATGTTATTTACAAGGTAGTTGCAAAATGTTTGGTGAACATACTTTGAGCACTGCTTGATGAGATCATGGCAGTGGCACCATATCAAAGTGTCTTTGTCCCATGGCACTTAATCACTGATAATGCTTTGCTCACAATTGAATGACTTTGATCACTTTTATTCAACATGAGAAGAATTCGGAGAATAGCTTTCGTGCCTATAAGCTTGACTTTTCAAATGCTTATGACAAGGTGGACTGGGGTTTCTTGAAGTAGACAATGACAAATTTAGGCTTCGCTCGCTAGTGGGTACGATGGATAATGACATGGGTTATCTCGGTAAGAAATTATGTTAAATTCAATGGCAATCTTGAATTCATTTGCACCATAATCTTGAATTCAAGTGCCACAACCCGAGGAAATCCCCTTCTCCTCTCGCGCGACCGCGTCGTCCCCGCGGGCGACCGGCCGCGCTCCGGCGCCCCCCCTCCTCTAGAGCCCCCCCTTCCCTCCCTCCCTCCCCGCCGCCGTCGCCGGCACCCGCGGCCAGGCCTGGCCCC